ATAATTCAACTCCAGGTGTTGATTTTGCGTTCGCATCCTGGCTTCACTGGTATTCCTGGCGCCCTGACACCCGTGGCATCCAGGCACAGGCCCTGCAAGTCTGACAGTCTCGCAGGTCTCACAAGCCCAAATCGCACACGCCCCAGAGGTCGCACAAGCCCCACAAACTTCATGGGTCTTAGAAGTCCCACATGTAGCACCAGTCGAACAATGCCCACATAAAATCACAAGTCCTATACGCCCCACAAATGGCACTGGTCCCACAACTCCCAGACCGCACAAGTCCCACAAGTCGTACGGGTCCAACGTGTTCCACATATCCCATAAGTCCAACGAGTCTCGCCTGCCGCAAACATTGCACAAACATTCTGGGTCTTGCGATGCTGGCATCCGGGCCTCTGGGCCTCCTGGTATTCTTGGCCTCTTGGCCGCCTGGCATCCCTGGTATATTGGTGTGGTGGCATCCTGGCTTCCTGTTATTCTGCAGCCCTAGCATCATGTCCATCGTTAGTCGTCGATTGTCACGCACATGTGCACCAATGATATTATCATGTGGGGCCCTACCGTCAGAGAAATTCTCTTTCTCTTTGTCTTCCCTAGTGCAGCACCAACAAGGCCACGAAAGGAACCTAACAAGGCCCTGGAAAACCCGAAATGGCCTTAATTGGCTAGGGGCGGCCCCAAGGGCGCCACCAGAGGGCCAAAGACAGCCCCAAGAGAAGCCCAAGACCCCTCAAGAAGGACCTGAACTACATAATTCTAGGACAAACCCAAACACCCCGGCCAAGAAGGTTAACGGGATCCAGAGAAAGTACCCGAAGACAGAAACGAGCCTGAACAAGACTTGAGAGAGCCCTTGATGCCCCCCAGGGGACACTGAGATGTTCCAACAAAACGCCGACCGAAACGAATTGGCCATCAAACGTGATTCCGCGAAGCTCTGGGCACTCACCTGGCATGGTTTGAACTATCGCATACATCCGGGAGCCCACGGATACTGGAGAACTCTGCGAACCAGCATGTGCTGCGGTTCTTCCTCCTGGCCCTCCTCCTTGTAAGCACAGTGCACGGTACACCAGGGGGCAGCAGAACCTGACATGGGACGCTGCAGGCATGAGCAATTACGGACGCGGAGACCAACGAGAGGATAATATTCTGAACGAACAGGATCCTTTCTTCCACTTCCACTTCGAGGACGAGAAGGGGGAGGCAGGGACAGCTTCCTCCTCCTTCTCCTCCTCCTTCCCTTGCTCCTCCTCCTCCTCCTCCTCTCCTCCCATGCTCCTTCTCTCCTGCACCAAGGCGTCGTGCACGACAAGATAGATAATACTCCGCATGGATACGTGCAATTACTGCATTGTTCACAGAAGTGTACGGGAGCACATGTACACCAGCAGCGTGGAAGGCCGCGGGACGTACAATAATACATAGAGAGACGCCAGGCAACATGAGAGCTCGAAGGAATGCGGAATATGACACAAACATGCATAGAGTACGGTTGAACGGAAACTCGCAAGCAGACGCTTTCAGGCTACAAGATGATAGCCCATACCTATGCGACCACCCCTCGGGTGATAAGGAGGTTTGGGGGTGGGGGGAACGAACCAACTGCTGGCAAATGCGATGGGTGTGATGATGACGATGCTGGTGGCCCGCCCTCAAGTTAGTGACGACGCGTGATGACGATGTTGCGCTGCGATGTAATGCCACTACTGTTCTGACTGTCGATCTCGCGCTCGATCTCACTGGCGATCTCAATATCAATTCCTCTGTCTTTCTCGCTGGCGATCTCGCTGCCGACCTCACAGCCAACTGTCACAATGAACCTCGCTGTCGATCTCACTTCTGATCTCAGTATCCATCCCATCCTAGCGATCTCACGATCCATCCTTGAGGCACGAGGAGGAGGGGGAGGGGGAGGGGGAGGGGGAGGGGGAGGGGGAGGGGGAGGAGGAGGAGGAGGAGGAGGAGGAGGAGGAGGAGGAGGAGGAGGATCCCTCTGGTTTCCCTCCTGGTATCCCTCCGTCTGCCCGCGTCTCCCCCCCCCTAGGAAGCGTGGCCCCCCTCGGGTCTCCCTCCTGGCATCCCTCCGCCTGCCCGCGGGGGAGGCTCCTATATTCGTAGGTCTTCACCCCGTATTTCTTGCAAGTGTGCCCAGTGAGGCTCCTAGATTTAAGATTATGTGAGGTTGGGGAACCGCTCGAAGTGATATTTGTTCCTGCAAGAAACCAAAAACAGCCGACACACCAAGATTCTACCACAAGGTGCCTACAACTGTGGGGGGAGCCGCGGTGGATCGCCCCATGGGCGTCTTCGATAACATTGATTAACTCGTGAAGCTGTTTAAATGGACATGCTGCAAAATATTCGCCGACCCACTCAGCGTGTTAGATCCGCGGGCCCCGGTTTCTTAGCTCTTAGCTTCTAGCTCTCTGTTCACGCCACTTAATGCAGAGTTCTTAGCTTCTAGCGAAGCTTAGGGCGCTCCCCCCCCAACAAAAACTCGGGTACTCGGTGCCGGGCTGATGTCAATCGTAGGGCCCTAGCCCCCGATAGCTTCCGTCCTCAAGCCGTCCCGGACCGGACCTTATTCGAGACCCTCCTGAGACCCTCCCGGGACCCTCCCAGGACCTCCTGGGGACCCCCCCCAGGGATCAAAAACGGACACAACAGTTACTATTATTTTTGTTTTCGAATGGCAGCTTGATTTTTAGGGGTCTCCTCTTGAGAATGTAGAATGTGCTTCAGGTCGGCGTAGGGATCATACTTTTGAGAAAATCATCGGATCAAATGATAATAGTTTGCTCGCGGTAGCGATTCTGACTAGTTTATAACATAAATCGCCCTCCCCCCCCGAAACACAGAGCCACAGAGACACTAGCAGCCTCGCCAAAGGGGTCGGCGGAATGCGCGTAGCGCTTAGAATCCGCCGCACACCTTCCGGTGTTGCTGGGCGTGTTACATCCAGGACCACTCCCGTGGTCCGGATCACTTGCTCTGGATCACTTGCTCCGGACCACGGGAGCTAAATCCCTTTAGGGATGCTCCCCCCCCCTCGCTCGGGCCACCGCGTTCCGCCGACCTCGCTCTTGGGCAATGCACGTCCAAGCAGGTCCATGAGCGTCAATGCAATATTTTCGGCCAAGATGGGTCCGAGAGCGCTCGAGATGACTCCAAGACGCTCCAAGAGGCCTCCAAGAGTCCTTCAAGAGGCATTCAAGATGCTTTCAGCAGCCATCACGCGCCCAAGATACAATCTAGATCAATTTTTATAGGGATGTTAAGCTCCAAGAATACGCCTCAGGACCTCACAAACCATTAGAATTCATTGAACAAAAAAACAATACTTTTTCCCGGAAAGGGCGCGGGCCCAGGGTTCTCTTTTTCTATGTAAACATATCCCCCCGTGCCCAACTTGAAGGAGGCCGGCGAAATTATTCTGCGATAAATAACGAGGTCGAAGGAGGCCGGCGAATTAAAATTTGAGGATGTCTCGAGCGAAACGCTTGTGTTTCAGAATTTGTTGAGGATGTCTCGAGCGAAACGCTTGTTTTGTGTTATATATTGTCCTCTCCTGGGGACCAGACCACACCCCAGCACGACCACGCCCCAGCACGACCACGCCCCAGCACGACCACACCCCAGCACGACCACACCCCAGCACGACCACACCCCAGCACGACCACACCCCAGCACGACCCGATCGATAAATCACAGGGTGCGGAGCACCCCAGCACGAACCCACCCCAGCACGACCCCACCCCAGCACGACCCCACCCCAGCACGACCACGCCCCAGCACGACCACACCCCAGCACGACCACACCCCAGCACGACCACTCCCCAGCACGACCCCACCCCAGCACGACCCCACCCTAGCACGACCACACCCCAGCACGACCACACCCCAGCACGACCACACCCCAGCACGACCCCACCCCAGCACGACCCCACCCTAGCACGACCACACCCCAGCACGACCACACCCCAGCACGACCACACCCCCAGCACGACCACGCCCCAGCACGACCACACCCCAGCACGACCACGACCCACCACCCCAGCACGACCACACCCCAGCACGACCACCCCAGCACGACCACACCCCAGCACGACCACACCCCAGCACGACCACACCCAGTCGCACCCCTGTGGAATGTTTCGTGGGGTGTCTGGTTGAGTGGTTACCTGTTCGTGGGGTTTCTCGTGGAATGTTTCACGGGGTGTCTCGTGGAATGTTTCGTGAGGTGTCTCGTGGAATGTTTCGTGAGGTGTCTCGTGGGATGTTTCGCGGCATGTCTCGTGGGATGTTTCGTGTGGTGTCGCCCAGTTGGATATCGTGAAAACGTGACCATGCTGCACATGTCAATATCCCTTTCCGGGTTCGTGGGTCCATGATGTTGAAGAATTCGTGTTTTGAGTGCCAGACGCCTCTGGGAGTCGATTTTGGAGCGTCTCGGGCTCCCTTTGGCCGGCGTTTTGGTCACTTGGAGCGCCCAAGATGCCTCTCAGAGCGCCCCAAGAGCGCCCAAGAGCGCCCAAGATGCCTCCAAAACGGCCCCGAGAGCACCCAAGAAGCCTCCAAGACGGCCCCAAGAGCGCCCAAGCTGTCTCCAAGAGCCTCTAGGACTGCCCAAAAGCCTCCAAGACGGCCCCAAGAGCGCCCAGAGAGTGCATCCAAGAGGGTGCCCCAACATTCCAAGATGCAGCTTGCTGTCCAGACCGCTGTCCAGCCACTTTCCAACAAAACAAATCCAAACATACGCCCCTCTCACGATGCTTCCTACCAATAAGGTGTGCGGCGGTGCTCGCGAAGCGTCTTACCATAAAAAACAAACAGAAGTAAACGCTCCTCCAGGTCAATGAAACTCTTATCCTCAAATGCAGGGATTTCACATCAACGTCGGATTGGGGCTACAAGCGCAAATTGTTGGACCCTGCTGGCCTTCAAATCCAATACAGGTTAACAAACACATATAATGCTTTGCGCGCGTACTCTTTGCATGAACATGAGTGAGGATAGGGGCTTTTGACCGCTTTTCCACAACCTCAAAGACAAGTTAACAAGTCAAAAGGTTGAAGGTGCGAAGCTCAGAGAGGCTGTGCAATGCTGTCTGCCTAAAATCACCCTTAAGCGCCAAGCTCTGCTCAGCATCTAAAGCCACGGCAAACAGGGGCACGCGGCAACTGTGCGCCTTCAACCAATCTTGAAATTGATTCATGTCAATATCCTTACTGCTAGGAACAGCATGCGCCTTATACAACAACACACTCAGCTGCCATGCAGCAGTGCCAGCACGATCGGCGCTGCCATTCGGGTACGTGAAGTACATCGATCTCGGGTAATGTAACCGAGAAGGCGGTTGATCCGTCAAGCTCTCTAAATCGAGCAGCACTGCCTTGCTTCCATGCAAACATATGTTGGGGAATCGTATGTCGCAATGCGTGAGCCTAATGTTTAGAAGACCGCTGATTTGGTCAATTACATTTACCAGCATCATTGGGTTTTCGGCCAACGCTTCCGGCGTCAGGGGTGTGTACTCCAATCGTTTCGTGATGGCGACGGTAACACCATTGACCTCGCAACTGTAAAGGAAATATGGAAACAAGTCGCAAGTCTCTGGAGACAAACCCAATCTCTCATGTGCTCTTCCGAATTTGTCTGCAGAGATTAGACGACGATGCAAAGGACACCGAAACTTGATCATGCAAGCATCAGGTTTCATCGTACTATTAATGTTGCTGAGAAGCGCGGCAAGCTGAAAGTTATCCGAGACGTAGTTGACCAACTTTTGGGCATCATCAAGAGCAGCGCTGAACAAGACTCCCTGGTTGATCTGCACACCGTCCCCAAAGAAATGCAGAATTGGCGTTCCCAACAACTGCAACTTCCACCCAACTGGTACCATTCCGATCTGAGTGGTGGAGGCTGACATGACCGGATTCGCATGGCGCGCTTGTTTCGCGCTCACGCAAGTTAGTGCTCTTTCAAGCCCTTGAGCAAGCACGCGGACGACAATCGCAGCCGCCTGCTGAGCATCTTCTCGAACAACAATAGGACAGCAATAAGACCATTCATGAAACAAGTCGGGCTTTGTGACCTCCACCAAGAAACTCGGAGCTTGCTCCACACTCTTCTTGCCAAACACAACAGCAGTAAGAACATGATCATAGTCCACGCACATCTTCTCCAGGCAGGGAATCTGTAAGCCAAAAACATACGCTAATGTTTGGAGAAGAGCCTGCTCTTGACCTTCTCCACCCGCCACCTTGAGCTCAACAACGGCCACCAAAGCCTTCCGATCGTTACAACTCATAATTATTGACAAGTCCGTGCTGGCAGTGGGCTTCGCACTAGGGGCACCGGCAACTCTTGCAAACCCAGCTTTGCAGTTGTAACTTGCTGACAGATCTCAACCCTCACAATTCTCACATGGTCATCAATCAGCGTGATTGACTTTTCCTTGGGGTTGTAAGTCAATTTGAGAACAGAGCTGAGGGCACGCATGAGAGACTCTTCGAACGCTTTTTCGTTTTCGTGCTCTCCCTGCGTGGTGTCAACCAAAGCCTTCGCGCCCAAATCGAGCTCAACATGTCCGACATCTGCGCGTAAGTTCTGAACATTTGTTTGAAAGCGACGCAGTTCTTCATCCAAGGTGCCCAACACATTGGACCGCGTGGGTGTCTGAAAATCTGACTTCTTCATCAAACCGCACGCTTGCAATTTGACTGCAACGGACTGTGAATTGCTCGGCGTGACAGATGAAGAGTTTCTAATTTCAAAGATCGTCGTGACATGCCAAGATGGTCTCCAAGAAAGCGATGGCCGTCCTGCATGCTTCAACAGAGCACAGCAACATGGGCGAGGAGACAAGTACTGCATTCGCGGCAGCGGGGCTCGCTCAAGAAGGGGCCCACAACTACTCCTACAAGACTTGAGCGCTGACGATCCACACAAAGTGACATGAGTTATGACGCGTTTACATGTGTTGCGCGTGGTGTCTAAATATTCCCTTAAGTCTGTCTAATACTTGTAGTCAAGGGCTGCTCGAATAAACATTGGCTTGCTAAACATTGTGTTATTATTGAGACTTGTTTCTGTCCACTAACTCTCTAAACGTTGATCATGCTTTGACATGGGAAACACAGTACATTTGCTTTCAAACGAGTCTTCAAAAAACACTCAGGCCAAGAATGAACCGAACACATCACACCAGCGTCGACCCCAAACATGTGTTTTGAATTTGTTTCGAGGAATCAACCGGACCACACCAGCGAAACAATACTGGGGGGAAATACTGGGAACCAATACTTTACGGATCAAACTGTTCAGTGGACTCGGCCGGCTCGGCTGGACCTTCCATGTGCTTAACTAATCTTGTGACAGATTGAAACCGTGCGCCGCCAAATCTAGGTGGCCGGTGGTGTGAGCGGGTGGCTGGCAGCAGCTGGCAAACCTTGTAGCGGATCGCTGCCATTGGCAAGGATCATGTCTATAAGGTCAAGAAAGTTGCGTTTTGTGCATTCTAAGGTTCTGAAACATGGATTTTCTTTGATTCTTATGTTTTTGAAGATATGTGTTTTGCTTGTTTCGTGGATTGAAACAACAACTCGAAAACATTTTGTTTGTTGGTTTTCCTGCCAGGATTCTGCCAGGATGGTGCCGCGGAAAGCCAGCATTTCTTCGGACACTCCCCCCCCCGGCTCTGCCAGGATTCTGCCAGGATTGGGCGGGCGCTGCCAGGATTCTGCCAGGATGGTGAAGCGGAAAATCAAACTTTGCTCCGACCACCCCCCGGCTCTGCCAGGATTCTGCCAAAATTGGCCGGGCGCTGCCAGGAAAAGTCAAACTTTGCTCCGACCTCCCCCCGGCTCTGCCAGGATTCTGCCAGGATTGGCGGGGCGCTGCCAGGATTCTGCGAGGATGGTGCCGCGGAAAGTCAAACGTTGCTCCGCCCCCTCCCCCCCCCCCTCCGGCTCTGCCAGGATTGGCCGGGCTCTACCAGGATTCTGCCAGGATGGTGCCGCGGACAATCAAGCTTCGTTCCGACACACCCCCCTGGCTCTGCCAGGATTCAGCCAGGATTGGCGGGGCGCTGCCATGATTCTGCCAGGATTGGCGGGGCGCCGCCAAATCTAGGTGGCCGGTGGTGTGAACGGGTGGCTGGCAGCAGCTGGCAAACCCCGAGAGGCGCAACCAGCCCAGCAAGCCCAACTTGCGACACCGCTAGTCTGGTGCAACGGGCTGGTGTTCAGACCGGGTCGGCCAACCGGGAGCGGCAGCGACCTGGAGCAGCTGGGAGGCACACCCGCGGACAGCGAGGCCAGCCGACCGGCCGAGCCAATGCAATACGTTGGGTCCGTGTTGGGTCCGTGTTTGGTCCATGTGTGGTCCATGCTCCAACCGCTCCGGGTTGCTCCGGGATGCGCCCAGGCGCCGGGCGGAGCCGGTGCCAGCCAGCAGCCAACCAGCCGCCAGCCAGCCGCCAGCCAGCCGCCAGCCAGCCAGCAGCCAGGCAGCCAGCCGGCAGGCAGCTATCAGCCAGCCAGCCACCAGCCAGCCAGCTAGCCAGCCAGCCAGCAGCCGGCCAGCCAGCCATCCAACCAGCCAGTCAGCCAGCCAGCCAGTCAGCCAGCCAGCCAGCCAGCCAGCCAGCCAGCTAGCAGCCACGCTCGTGACACCCCTAGTGGCGCGGGCGTGTGTTTAGAGCGGGCCAACTCGGCGAGCTCGGCCAGCAGCCAGCCAGCCAGCCAGCCAGCACCCAGCCAGCCAGCCACAGCCAGCAGCCAGGAGCCAGCAGCAGCCAACCGGCCAGCCGCCAGCCAGCCAGCAGCCAGCCAGCCAGCCAGCCAGCCAGCCAGCCAGCCAGCCAGCCAGCAGCCACCCAGCCAGCCAGCCGCCAGCCAGTCAGCCAGCCAATCAGACAGCAGCAGCGGCCAGCCAGCCAGCCAGCCAGCAGCCAGCTAGCCAGCTAGCAGCCAGCGAGCCACCAGTCAGCCGCCAATCAGCCAGCCAGCGAGCCAGCCAGCAGCCGGCCAGCCAGCCACGCTCGTGACACCCCTAGCGCGGCGCTGACGGCTTGTGCGTGAAGCGGGCCGGCTCGGCCAGCTCGGCGAGCTCGGCCAACCAGCCAGCAATGACCCAACCAGCAGCCAGCCAGCCAGCCGCCAGCCAGCACCCAGCCAGCCAACCAGTCGCCAGCCAGCAGCCAGCCAGCCAGCCACAGCCAGCAGGCAGGAGCCAGCCAGCCAAGATGCAGCCAGGCAGGCCAGCAGCCAGCCGGCCAGGCAGCCAGCCGGCCAGGCAGCCAGCCAGGAGCCAGGAGTCAGCCAGACGCCAGTCGGACAAAGTCGGCCAACCAGCCAGCCAGCCAGCAGCCAGCCAGCAGCCAACCGCGCGCGTAACACGTGTTCAGAGGCCGGCTCGGCCAGCTCGGCCAGCCAGCCAAGCGCCAGCCGCCAGCCAGCCAGCAGCCAGCTGCCAGCCAGTTTGCCAGTGGCTGGCCAGCCAGCCACCAGCCAGCCAGCGGCCAGCCAGCCAGCAACCACAACCAGCCAGCAGCCAAGGTGAAATTTCGCAAACGGGGCCGAGCCAGCCGCTCGTGACACCCCTAGTGCGGTGCTGCGGGCTTGTGTTTCGAGCGGGCCGGCCGACGCCAGCTCGGCCAACTCGCCCAGCTCGGTCAGGCGAGCTTGCCGGCTCGGCCAACCTTTCGTGACACACCCTGTTGCCTCTCGTCCACATGCGCTCTCCTTCCCACTGCCACCTGCAGTAATTGCCAAGCCCACCCATGAGTTCGTGGGGGCGAAGCAGCAGGGTCTCCTTGCGGAGCAAAGCGTTGCGGTCAGCGTCTCGCAATCACGTCGCTAAAATGCTTGTGGTCAAGCAAGCTCAAGACACACCGATCAGCCACCTGCGCCTGTGCGAGGTTTGACTCCCTGTAGCCATGGATGGGATGGCTGCACTCACGCTGGCCGACTTGCAGCAGAAAGCCTGCAAAACCACAGAGATCCCGTCACGTGTCGCGATTTATGACGTGATCGCGGCGGCGAAAGGCTGCGACTCAAACTACGCCGGGCAGATCTATCTGCGGGAAATGCAGGAACGGATGGCGCCCGAGTGCGCAGAGGTCGAGCCACATTCGATTCATGCAAATTGCATGGAACAAAACGGTGGCCGTGGAGGCGGAGGCCGTAAGTAGGTCCGTGTCACCACAGCCAGGGAGAGTCGCGCTTCAAACAGAGATGCGCAAACGTCATCGCGCGCTACCTCGGCGGCGATTATGGTTTGATGGAGGACGTTGCGAACAACCGCGCGGCGCAGGAGCGGCTCGCCAGCGAGGACCAAGAGTGCGCGATGCGGCTCTGGTCGAGGCGCGCGGTCTGCCGCCGTCGCTCAAGGATCTGCTCGCCAGCGCCGTGGAGACAGGCATCAAACAGGGCTCAGAGAAAGCCTTCGCGGCGGCGCAGGCCATCCTAGCGGAACGTCTGCAAGCCCTGGAGGAGCAGCTGCGGAAGGTCCCGGAATGTGGGCCCCGCGTCGAAATGAGCCGCGCCTTCTCGAGCCGGCCGGACGCGCTGCTCGACGTCAGCATAAAGCTCCAGGAGGAGAGCGATTTACAGCGGCTGCGCGAATATGGCTTGCCAGTCGCAGCCTTCTTCCAAGAGAAATTCCCAGTGCAGAAAATCTCAAGGATCAGCGCATGCTTCGCCAAGGCGCTCAAGCAGCGACGCCTCGCCTCGTGCAGCCAAAGAGCTATTTCACATGGAAATACCTGTCCGAGCATTGCCAGCCAAACACTCCGACCATCCGGAATTTCTCAAGGATCTGCCCATGGGGTCGTGCAAATTATCCTGGAACTCCTCCGTGTCTGTGTCGCCGGTCTCCACCTGCCGCGCAAGCTTGGCGGCGAGCTGCTTGGCCTGCATGTCGCTGAGATCGGACATGGCTGTGTGGTGCCTCGGGGCGAAAGACGCGGGCTTGAACCTTGCTGCGAAACAGTGCCAAGGCGCTGTGGCTCGGCTTGGAAATGCGCGCGCTATGTTTTGCCACCTTTGCTCCTTAAGCTTGCCTCGCATTCGCCTCAAATTCGTCCCCCATGCCGACTAAGGTTCGCTTCGTAGGCAACCAACTTTTCGTTCGCCCAGGGGATCGGGCTAACTTCTCGATGTCCCCAACGCTCACAACCTTGAATGCACGGGCCCAGAGCGCCAACCTTTCGGGCACCAGTGCTGCGGCGTCGAGGCCGTTGCATCTTTTCTTGCCTGTGACTTGCACCTTGGTCTCGCTGGCCAGCTCTTTGCCTTCCTTGCTGCCTCGCCCCTACTCATTTTTCCGCGCCCTCAGCCAACTTGGGGAAGGTCGGGTCGGCTTGAAGCCGTAGTTGCGACTCGCCATCGAAACGCGCCGATCGAGGTGCAAAGTCGGCGGTAGTGTTTCCGAACTTGCCCCAGAATATTTCTCTGCCCCGAGCTCGGTACATGTTGAATGAAGTAACGCTTCGATCGTCAACAGGCAAAGCTGCTATGCTTCGCGTCCTTGCCTCCATGGCTACTTGGCGCCATCTGCCTCCGCTCCGCGCGGAGAGCCAGCCCGTTCTTCAGCGTAGCCTCGTTCTCGCGCATGCGCTGGGTCTGGTCCGCGCGCGACAGCCTCGACGCCCATCAAACCACCCGGCCATAAGGCAGCCAGCAAGGCTGCGAGAGACGTCCCGTTGTTTAACGGAACATTGTCAGCCCATTGATGACCCCCCGACAAGGCGCAGGCGACGATCGGAGGTCGAGGACAAAGACTACTCCGACATTGAGCGCAGGGAAGGGGAAAGCTGCAAGAAGACACCAGGAGCGCCAGCAGACAAGGCGCACGGCCCGAGAACGCGCAGTGCCACAAGGACGCGCGCTGCGCAGTTTATGGCGACAACCCAGGCATTCGAGGCGGTCTGCCCGACATGCGGCTCCGCCATTTACGCGTTGACCAGCAACCTTCTGCGCTTCGTGCG